CTTGCATCCTTTTGTAATCGAATAATTTAAATAATGATAGATGACATCTCTCAGCGTTTTGTTTGTTTGTTCGTTTGTTTATGTGTGTGTGTGTGTGTGTGTGTGTGTGTGTGTGTGTGTGTATGTGTGTGTGTGTGTGTGTGTGTGTGTGTGCGTTTAAGCCGAAGAACAATTTTAGTTTATCCTTGCTTACCACAAGTAGGTGGGATTAGGATCTCAAGCAGGATACTACCATTCGTGCTCTTATTTGCATTTAAAGAGATGGAGGTGTCAGTGGAAAGTTAGCGAAAAAATTGCTGCCACAGTTTGAGGATTTCCAAAGCCGAAGTGTTCTTGAAAACGGCAAATTTACCGTTCTGTGCCTTTGATCAACTTGTTTTTCTATACACACCACATAGGGGTGTGCCTTTAAAAGGCAATAAAAGAGTAGTTTTACAGTGATTGCATCATGCATTATTTTATTATAACACAAAGAGGGCGAAAAGCTGTTAGTGTTAACTGTACATGTGATAGGTCGTTCAAACATATTCATGCTTCCCTGCGCATCGAGCGAGCATTCGATTACACTTTTACCACCTCATTTAGCAATAATCGACACCAACAGAAACAAGTTCGTGATCAGTTTCCCCTATCGGTGACCTATTTTTGTTCTGAAGCTACTGCTTTCTGGTGACCCCACCCCCCACCCCCAAAATAAAACCCTCGAAAAAACAAAACAAAAAACAAAAAACAAAAGCGCGACCTACAATGTCCTTGTCTAGACTGTTGTGTCAGACTTATTTGGTTTTTTTTTGGTGGGGCAGCGTCTGTCATAGTGTCAACGAGCCAGCCTAAGAGACTTGGACACATCCTGTTGAATTTTTCCTTTTTAAATGTTTGTTTTTTACGCCCCCCATCGGCACAATTTAGGTAATTTAAGAGGCGGGCTTCGAACCTTGCCTTTCAAGGCCAACCCCCCCCCCCACCTAGTGGGATACAACATTACAGCACAAAAACCGAGATTCTCGATGATAAATTTTTTAAATCCCCACCCAGGAATCGAACCTGGGTCTCCTGTGTGCAACAGTAAATCGCCTGACCGCCACACCACAGATGCCTGTACATCCTGTTGAGGGAAGAAAAATAATATTTAAAAACTACAAAACCAAAAACCCATTAAAAAAATAAATTAAGTCACTATCAGCATCACCTCCACCTTCTTATTATCGTTTCCGCCTTAACATGCGGTTCCATTGACTGGCAAAGAAACAAGTTACATTTAGAATGGTATTCTTTGTACAAGATTTTAAAATATGTACCAGAAACAAATCTTGACAGGTTAAAGTGTCGTAAAGCCCTGACAATTGGCAGCAAGATTCATTTTTAGACCCCCCCCCCCAGGAGATTGTAAAGCAGAGACAGCCAAAGAAGCAAGAAATTTATAAATCATTTGGCATACAACTCCTTACGCCATTACTTCAGGAAGAAAAGAATCTACCGACCTGTTTCACCGCAGCTCTGCATTTTGCTCTTTGAAGAACACCAATAAATGTGCAATACATGTATTCCTTTTGTACTGTCAGGCTACCGGACCCGTAATCGCGAGATAGTACATTTGTGAGGGATCGTGGTGAAATCAGGCGCTCGTCAAATTAATGAAATCCGAGAAATCTGCATTTTTCGCCAGTTTGGAAATTTATTTGTCAAATTTTTGTTTTTTTGTCCTTTAAAAAACACTTTCATTTATGGATTTTATGTAAAAACGTTGATTAAAGGCACAAAAAATGCAACTTTGCAGTTTCCAAGGACTCTTAGGAAAGTCATGATGCTTTGGAGGCCTCGCGCTAATTTTACTTCTGAAACTAGGCAACCCCACCTCCTTCAATCGCAAATATCTCGATTTCTGTTCCAGATAAATGGATAATTATGTTATTGAAAGCAAGGCAAATGAACAAGCTTTAATATGGATGACACAAATAACTCCATATGCCCAAAAATTGACGAGCACCTGATCCCACTTCGTCGTGACACATTTGTACTTCGTGTGCCCATATTTTGCTTGCATAGGACGCAGCGTGCTTGATGTGGGGGTTTAGGAATATGTCTAGTCAGTATGCTGGTGAAATTTGACGTGTCCATACTTCTTTGACTGCACACTCTGAGGCTTTTGCGCTTGAAGGCTGTTTGTCTGAGAAATTGTGTTTCATGAATTGCCAGAAATTTTCAGTAGGATTGAGGTTAGGGCTATTTACAAGCTTCTTCAAGGTCGTGACCGTGATCCGTTAAAGGTATTTTTGCACAGATTTTTACCCTCTCGCACGGAGTGCTATTGGAGGCGAAAATTTTGCCCCTGTGATCATGCATGTGTATTTCCATTTTCTCCTTCAACAATTCCAAGTACTTTTGGCCATTCATAGTCGTCTATGGATAAAATGAAATGTATTCCTGCAGTTTCAGACTTTCAAATTACGTTCCTGATCATCGAACTTGGTGAACATTTAATTGTCTGTGTGGTGTAGATTTCATCATATCTATTCCTTGATGTCTTCCTGACACGATGCTGCCCAATTACAAACAGCTGTATTATATGGCCGATTCGTCTGAAAACATCACTTTGCTCCAATGTTCTGCAGTCCAGTGCTCATAATTTCTGGCAGGTGCCAGCCGCTTCGTTTTCATATCCAAGGCCAGTCTTGGTTTACAGACTAGTTTATAAAGTTTGAACCCGGATTTATCAATCAATCGACGGGAAGTATAACATTAACAAAAGCATCCCATTTAGGATAAAATCTCATGCTGTGAGTGAACTGAGCTGCTGTTAGCCATTATTTTGGGCTCTTTGAAAGTCAGAAAGTGTGATTTTTCCCAGTATTTTAAGTGCATTTACTGATATAGAAAAATGCTTCCAAAAAGATTCATAGCCTTCAAAGTACCGACTGAATGCACTGGGAACATTCAAACTTTACGTGTCACGCAGTAGGGCAGAAATAGTGGAAGGAATTACTAAATAGTTTTGGAAGATAATGCAAAATGTAGCAACAACAGTAAAATTGCCTGTTGTTCCTAAGTGGTCTTAAACCTCTGGTCACAACTGTTGCATTCGGTTTTGTTTCTATTTAGTTCAGTTTAAAAAAATAATGTTTGCTTCAATTTCTATTCTTTAATTAACTGTTTCCTGTGTCTGTGCCAACTTATGACAATTTGGACCGACAGCACCAACTACTGACGACCGTCGGCTTGACGTTGGTAAGGGAAGTTTTTTCAAAATCTCGACAACCTCTGATGGTACTTAAAAAGATAAACAGAAGTAAAATGTAAGAGCTATGAGTGGTCAGAAAGGTGAAACGACACGTGAGGAAAGTGAGTGTCCATTCGAGGCAGTGGAGGGAATGGTTGTGAAATTTCTTTCCGGAGAAAAGATAAGGATGTGACATGTTTAAAACTACTTTTTTCTTGTTATACCATTATTATATTATTTCCCGTATTAGAAAAAAAAAATCTATACAAGAACAACGATAGCTCAGTCGGTTTCATGCCTCTCTACTGTGCGGGTGACCTAATTAACTCTTTGAGTACGCGATGTTTTGGGGCACCATAAAAATGAAGCGCGACTTTATTATTCCTACAGATTTTTCATGACTGTTTTCTTAATCTGAAACTTTAGTTTTAGTAAGAGTTTTACGTCACGTGCAACACAACAAGGTCATATAAGTGTCGGAGATCAGAGAGTAACAAACACAAAAAAGGAGGAGGAGTGGTAAGGACAATAGATGTTTGATAGAAAAGAAGGAACAGGCCACACCAGAGCACCCGCCAACTACCCACATCTGAAACTTTAAAAAGGCAGGCAACACCATGCAAGCATATCATTTAATGTATTGTGCAAATCCCTGTGTCTGGTTTTGGGTATGATGGTTTGAAATGTGCAACAACATTGCGTTTAGTCTGCTGAGCTGTTAGTCGGATATATGTGCTAGCTACCACGTCATAGTTAACCAGCGTTTGTGATGTATCGGTTAGGCACTTCGCTGTCTCATAAGGGACACGGCCCGCATTCTATCCTCAAAACAGGAGACTTTTTATCCAATATCGCTGTATTTTTCTCTGGGACGTTGTATCCCTCTCAGCACGGGTTTGCCCTCGCATTCAGGCTTGAAATCCAACCCCCAAATGATCTAAATTATATCGACGGGGGCGTATAAAACATGTTCATTCATAAAAAGCACTTTTGACTAGATCTAGATTAGAATTAATATCCTTTTGTTCTTGGATATGGGGGAAAGTTTATATGGCTTAGCTTGGTATTGCTCTAAATGGACATTGAATCGGAGGTCCTGCCTCTTAGATAGCCCTGTAGTGATTAATAAGGTGTACTGAAGAAACGAACGGGACAATGCATACCATTCCATATGTGTCACGATTCTGTGGAATCAGGCACTCGTCAGTTTTTGGGCAGGTTGAGCTTTTGGTACCATCTTAAAGCTTCTTAATTTTGTGTATTATATCTTTCAATGAAAGAAGTACCCATCTATCTTGCATAGAAGTTGCGAAATTTGCGATTGAAGGAGGTGGGGGTTGCCTGGTTTCAGAGGTAAAATTAGCGAAAAAAATGGCCCGCAATGTTTGGTGACTTCCATAGTTTGAGAGGCTTTGAAAACTGAAAACTCACATTTTTTGTGTGTCTTTAATCAGCGTTTTCAGTACAATACGCACAGAAATGTGTTTTTAAATGGGCATAAAGGGTGTTGAACTAAAAACAACAACAATAACAAACAGGAATTCGATAAAGATTGCCGAACCAGACCCAAAAAATGCATATATTATCGATTTAATTATTCTAAGAAGCGCCTTATTTCACCAATGCCTCAACATAATAAATAGATCCGTGAATCAATATGTACAGAGATCACATACCTGATAGCAAACTTGACAAAACATGTGGGCATTCGTAGTTCAAACCCAACGTCATACAACGATGCTTTTCTTTCCTCCTTCTCTCTCGACAGTAAGACCATGTTTTCCGACCTATCATTTTTGTTTTGTTAAATTCATCTAATCTATTCGTGTATGTGTTTGTGTATGTATGAATGTATGTGTGTGTGTGTGGGGGGGGAGGGGGCAGTGACAGAGAAAGAGGGCTGAGAGAGAGAGAGAGAGAGAGAGAGAGAGAGAGAGAGAGAGAGAGAGAGAGAGAGAGAGAGAGAGGGGAGAAGAATGAAGAGAGAAATCGAGAGAGAGAGAGATCGAGAGAGATATATAGATAGATAGGAAGACCGATAGATAGATAGATAGATAGATAGATAGATAGATAGATAGATAGATAGATAGATAGATAGATAGATAGATAGATAGATAGAGAATATACACACACATTCTCTCTCCCTCTCTCTCTCTCTCTGTGTGTATGTGTGTGTCTGTGTGTGTGTGTATGTGCGAAAGCGCGCATGTCACGAAACGGTGGAATCAGACGCTCGTCAATGTTTGGATATGTAGAGTTATTTCAGCTTTTAAGAACATATTCATGTTTGGATAGAGTTTACATGGGCAAAAAAGCCTATAAATTGCTAGCTCCAATGGTTTAACAACATAACGTGTTGGTTGTTATAACTTAGCATGCACAAAACCTGATAGATAATAATCTGTACTGGAAGTGTAACGAAACACCGCACAGGTCAATCAAAACAGTAAGACGACACGGAAAGAAAGACGCTTCCGGTTTTTCAGCACAAATTTAGGTTTGGATAGAGTTTAACCTGGACAAGAAATGTAGGAAATCCCAGCACCTGTGGTAAACACAATAGTGTATTGGAGGTTACGACTTGACAAGTACAAAAGCTAATAAATTCTAAGCAGTAGAGTGTAACGACCGACCCCACAAGTTGCTCCAAATAGTAAAAGGGCAAAGAAAAAAAAGATGCTTCCAGCTTTCCAGCACTCATTAGGGTTTAGATAAAATTTAGCCGGGAAATGCAGACTATGAAACGCTTGCCCCTATAGCTAAACACAATAATGTGTTCGTGATTACAACTTGGCAGGCACAAAAGCTAATAAATCATAACGAGTACTGAGAGTGTAACGACCTGCCGCAAAAGTTTCCCACAAGAGTAGGAGGACAAATGGAAAAAA